AGACTTCCTGTCAGTAACTGAATATCACAAGAAATGGGAGCAATCAATGCTTCACATTCTGAGGGAAACGGTTTTGAGACTAGCAGTCTGTGCTCAAGTCAAATTACCAAACAACTGTTGGACAAGAGATGTTTCAATGTGCATAGCTTATGACTTTTCTTCCATAAGATCTTAGAACAACTTCTTTTACTCAAAGAATTTCTTTAGTGGAACCTAAGAAAGAGGAAGAAATGGAATCAAAGAAGCTGCAGACTTAATTCATAAGGAGAATGAAAGAAATTCTGGAGCAACAGCTGCATCGTGCACTGGACAGTCCAGAAGTCACTGTATCCAGATAGAAACCGGATCAGAGAGCCCTAAGGTACTGAAGAAAAGCCGGACTCATGCTTACTGCTGTGTTTAAGTACCGCAGTGTGGTTGTGGCTGCACTGTCAATAAGACTTAAAAGCTACCAAAAATGCCAGGAAAATGTTTAAAACTCTACAGTAAAAATCCTGCCTTACAGTAGGAAGCAAGCTAGAGCATGATGAAGTAAGGGGGAAAGTCCATTTCATCACTCAGTCTTTTTCTTTCTATGTGAGAGTTTTTGGGTCACTCTGGGTTTTACATGTCTGTGTGAGTCAAGAACTTCACCTAGATCTAAGTATTTACAAAAAAGCATGCTATTACTAATTTTTTTCAGATAACCCCTAAAACATGAAAAGTATAGCAGTTATAATATAGAACATTAGATTATCAAAGTGAGAACTTTGCTAAGGGGGTCGGAGGGCTGCTGCCAAGAGCTTTGGGCCAGACCTCTGGCTTCAAATCCCAGCCCTTGCTTTCTTGAACTTGGACAAATGATATTCTCTGGGGCCCAGTTTCCCTGTCTCCTAATATGTGGAAAATAACTGTAGACTCCTGACATGGAGTTTTATAAGGAGTCAATAGGTGACTGTGGAGCTGGTTTAGACATATTATAGTGTTCTGTGATTGTTAAGCAGCTTGCAGATGAGGCAATGAGTTGAGGCAAATGAGAAGACAGACTGAAAGAAATGTAAGGACACAATTTCATCTAAAGGTCAAGTTACAGGGCCCATAAAGCTGATGGATCCCGAAAAATAGGCCTATTTGTTATTTAAAAATCATAACAGTAACTATGAAGAGCTCTAGAAATGAAATAATAAAGCACAAAAACCACAAAGTAGAACGAGATTTTGGGGAAAGAGAGGTACATTCCTCATAGTTCTGGGCAAAGTCAGTAGTTCCTGAGGAAAGTTAGGAAGTCGGGTGGCCCTTGGGAGTCAGACTGAGGATTGGAAACAATTTATTTTTAGTTTTATAAAGTTCTTAACTATATGAATTATTGCTTGTTGCTTACTATGTACTGATCTTATAATAAAATATTTCTCAGAAATTTAAAACAGCTGGTGGTGTGGCTCAGCAGTAAAGCACTTCCCTGAATTCACCCCCAGCACTGAAAGAAAGAGAGAGAGAGAGAGAGAGAGAGAGAGAGAAAGAAAGAAAGAAAGAAAGAGATATAAGCAGATAATTTAAAAAAACTAGTTCAATGTATATTCAATCTCACTGATTACATTTAAAATACCCATTTATGATGGTTAATCTTGACTGTGAACTTGATAGAACTTTGAAACATCATGGAAACAAGCCTCTGGGCATGTCTGTGAGGGATTTTCTCAATTAGGTTAATTGAGGAGGAAAGACTCGCCCTAACTATGGACCATTCTAGGGGCTGGAGAATACAAAGGAGAAGGGAGCTGAGCACAAGCCTTCCTCTCCCTCTACTTCCTGAGTGTGGATGTGATGTGACCAGTGGCCTCCTCAAGCTCTGCCACCATGCCTCCCCTGCAGTGATGGACTGCACCCTCCAACTAGGAGCCAAATAAACCCTTCCTGCCTCCTGCTTTTTGTTTCTTTTGTTTTGTTTTGAGTCAGGTATTTTGTCCCAGCAATGTATAAAGTAACTAATACATTGTTTTTCATACACTGAGTTAATAAAAATTTTGCCTGGGTTTTGAGATTGGCCTCTTTTACTTTTTATTTTGAGACAGGGTCTCACTGAGTTGCCAAGGCTGGCCTTGAACTTATTCTATAGCCCAGTCATGCCTCCTGCCTCAGCTTCCCAAGCAGCTAAAAAAAGCCTGCACCACTAGGTTTAGCGGCAGTCATTTTGACAAGATTGTTTTTCTTAGGATTGTGTTCTCAAGGATAAAGTGCTGTGTGTACAGTTATCTATCCAAACAACACTGGGTAGTGAAAAATAGGACAAATAAGCCCAATCCTTGGGGAAAAAAAAAACAAACAGAATAAAGAGATCTGACTTTAACTGGAGGGCCTGTTTTAACTGGTGAGCTTAATGCATTTCCTTTCAGTGTGATTGCATGTGACTTGAATTTTATCATCTTATTTTGTCTATAATATTCTCTGTTTGTTCTTTTATCTTGTTTTCCTTGCCTTATGCTTTATCTTTTATTTGTTTGTTTGAGACACAGTCTTATGTAGCCCAGGCAGGCCTTGAACTCACTATGTAGCTGAGGCTGGTATTACATTCCTGATCCTCCTTCTTCAGCCTCCCAAGAGCTAGATTGCAAGTGTGTGCTATTATGCCCACTCTGACACTGTTTTCTAAGTTTTCCCTTTTTTTTAAATAACTGCTACTGGTTTAGAAATTATATATTCTAGTTCTTTCATTTTTGTTTGTGTGGGTTTTGTCTGTTGGCTTTGTTTTGTCTGAGGCAAGGTCCCACTATGTGGCCCAGGCTGGCCTAGAACTTGTGATCCTCCTGTCTCATCCTTCTGAGTGCTGCTGGAATTACAGGCCTGTACCACCATACCTAGCTTATACATTCTATTTCTTCTGTTTTGGCTATTCCTGTCAAAATGTCAGCAGGCATACCTGAATTAAAAGCTTTAAGTCAATCACAGTCTCCTGCCTTCTTCTCTGATCATATCTAGATGGTTTTAACTAAGATAATCAACTCCCAATCTTCCCTCTTATTGCGGCACAGAATTCTTTCTACTGTGAAAATAAATTTCTATTATTACTGTCTTTTTATTTATAGTTGATGTGAGTTTATGTTTGTCTATATTTGCCAATTTCTTGCTCCTCATTATTTGGACACTGGTGTTTCTTGTAGTGAAGGTCTAGGTGTGTTGCACCTTAGTCTTCGCTGGAAAATGTTCTTTAATATGCCCTCTTCTGGAAGTGAACACGTAGCTGGGTTAGAACAAACACCACTTTAATTGTATTATTTCATTATCTTCTGGCACTTACTGTTGTTGGAGTATAAGTAGAAACAAGCCCAGTCCCTGCTCTCCCCACACACCCACCATGACAAACTCCAGCCAACACCCCTCTTCCCCTCCCTACAGTCGGTCCCTTGACTCCAGCTCCCTCATCCAGATGTCTTCTAACCTCTATCGCCAGCCTCCCGGACTCCATAGCCCTCGCTCTTCCATCCTGGCCCACTCAACTCACTGCTCTTGGCTTTCTTTCCTCTCTCTTGGCTCCTCCTGTCTCGTGGCTGAGTCTCCTTCTATTTCTGACCTCTGTGTCCTAGGGCTGCTCTTAGACCTTCTTTTGGATTCCAAGATGACCAACCATTTCCTATAATTATTTTGGTTTTACTTTTATCTTATTTATTTAGTTAGTCTTTTTTGAGACAGGGTCTCCCTGTAGTCACAGCTGGCCTGGATTCAATATGGAGACCAGGCTGGCACTGAACTCACAGAGATCCACCTGCCTCTGCCTCCTAAGTGCTGGGATTAAAGACATGTGCCACCACTCCTGGCTCATTTTTATTTATTTTTGCTGGCCTTGAACTCCCTATGTAGCAGAAGACTCCTGATCCTCCTGCTTCCACCTCCTGAGTGCTGGAGTTAGAGGCTTGAACCACCACAAATGGTTAACTAGTGCTGGAGATCAAACCCAGGGTTTTGTGCATGATAAGCATTCTGCCAAGTGAGCTACATCTAGCCCTCATTTCTACGATTGGAAAAAAAATACAGGTAAATAAAAATGGCTTATAATCCCTCTACCCAGATAGTTTCTGGTGATCTTTATGAAAAAATCAAGAACAACAATAGCAACAACAAAAAAAACCCCACAGAATCTGCTCTAGGATAGGGGAATATCCAAAAACATTAGAAGCTCACTGGCATCACCCCACATGTGTTCAGCTAGACACCTACACTATTCCCAATTCTCATCTGACATCCCACAGTCACTCTGCTTCCTCCCACATCCAGTTCATCCACTTCTCTCTTCCCCAGAAGCCTGCTTCCCACCTCCCTGGCCATCTACACCTCTTTCCTACAAGTCAGCTTCCACACCGAAGCCACAACACATGCTTATTTACCAGGTCTCCACCCTAGGCCTCCCTTTCTTTTTGCAAACCCCTCAGTACAGGTGCTGTCCCAACCCAGAGCCTCAGTCCAGGTTCGACAGTTGACTGCTGACTGTGGGCTCCACAGGCTGGGTGTTCTCATCCTTCCAGGCTCAGCTTAAACTTTGAGGGAGGGAAACCTGCCAAGCTACCCTGTCTAAAAGATGTCCACTAGTTTTTTACCCACCTCAGACCCTGGTTTGCCTTTTTATCATGCTTGCCATACACAGATGAGATTCTCAGAGCTCTTATTGATGATTTATTTATCTCTGTCTCCTTAACATACTACAGGCCAGAAAATAACAGGAGCTGAATATCTCCTGTCTACCATCAAGTCCCAGCACCAACTCAACTGATTAACTATTCATCATGCTGTTTGACATGCAGTGTCTCATTCAGTCTTCACCTGCAAAGTAGCTATGCTATGTTCCTCACCACTACACCCCCTTTGCACACAAGAGAAATAAGGTAAGGAGTCTATATCACACAGTGGGGAACAGCACAGTCAGGACACAACTTTCCCTCCTCCCTCCCTCCCCCCCTCCTCCCTCTCTCTGTTAATGACAGTAGCACTGGCCCACAGGATTTATGAAGATGTCTCGCCCATGTTCTTACCATATAAGCAACAGAAGCCAGTTGATAGACTACGGCCTGGGCTCCTAGTTCTGTCACATTAATAAGACCTAAAACAGGAACTCAGAGACAACACAGGTCAAAAAGGAGACCAAAGAGAACATTTTCTGCATGAAACTAGAACACACACACACACACACACACACACACACACACACACGGTGGGGGGGTATGTGTTTTGTTTTGTTGGGGTTTTTTTTTGTTTTGCAGGGGTAGGGCTGGGACCCAGGGCCTTACACATGTTAGGCAACAGCTCTGCCAACTCCACTGCATCCTCAGCCCCTGGCCCATGCTTTCATTTAAGTGAGGCTCCTGGGGTTGCAGGTAGTTTCTAGGGTTACATGGTGAAAGGGAGGTAGGAGGGCAGCAGAGGTTCATGTGTAGCTTTGGAGACAACTGGAGCACCCTTCATGACCACTGCCTGATGGCTATACTGTGAAACATTATTGTGAACAAGACCAAAATAATCACAGCTCTGGTAGAAACAGGTCATAGCTAAAACAGAGTTAAATCAACTGCTCTGTGTGCTAATGTCCTAAAACTTGGCTTCCAGCCTGGCAAAGTCACTGACCCACAAGATGGTCGGGAGTCAGGGCACCTGGGTTGGAGATTTTGTTCTCTGCTCCATGAGCCTCCCTTTCCCTAGTCACAAAATACAGTGTGTGTGTGTATGGTTTGTGGAGGGTTTGTCTGTACTGCAAGCCTTCACAAGAGCCAGATAAAAGAGCAGAGAAGCAAAACTCCTTCTGGGAACCTCTGTTATGTGACTGCCCAGGCTGTATGCAGGTTCCTCTGGGTGCCCACAGACCTGCAAGGAAGGTCCTGATTTCAAAGGTCCACCACTCGATGCACACCATGAACATATTAGGGATGGCTTGATGGGTATAGGCACTCCACTCCTGGAAGCACTCCCTCGTCCAACCTGGATAACAGGTGAGAAAGCGATATGCACCGAATAACAGTCACCTATGCCAGTCTCACAGTGGGGGATCATACAGGAGGATGGTTTCTTCAGCATAGCAAAATCCTAAGAAAGGGAAGTGGGAAGGAAAAGAGAGGGTGAAGAAAGGGAGGAAAGGGAAGGAAAAGAAAAGGGGGAAGGAAAGGGGACCATTTACAGCTGATGTAATGAACAAGATTTTCATTATATGTTTAAAAGTAATGGTTTTGTGGTCAATTTTTAAAAGTTGGGGAAATCGAGGTTGTAAATTCTCAAGCTGTTGGTTTTTACTTGTGTAAGTGCTGTGCGAGCATGTAGGATACGGAGTATGTGAACAATGAACAAACACAAATCCCCAGTAAAATCTCCCCAGACACTAATGGGGCTGTTAATCTGGCACAATTAATTTTCAATGTGCTTCTCCTCCACCACTGAAAACAAGAGGCAGGGGAGCGTGAAGCAAATACAAAAACTGAGCACGGAGACGCAAAGCACATTTGCACACAAGGTTAGGGTTCACCCGCTTTAGCTTTTTTATTGTGATGATTCTTCATTGTCGATGTGACTTCCTCTAAAATCACCTAGGAGACTGAGGCACACCATTGGGCATGTCTGTGAGGTTTAGCTGAGGTTCCTGGATGTTTAGCTAAGGACAGGACACCCATCATAAACATGGATGGTGCCAGCTCATGGGCTAGAGGGTCCAGACTGAATAAAAGGAGAAAAAGGAGAAAGCCAGTTGAGCACCAACACTTCTCCCCTCTCCCCTCTCCCCTCTGTCTCCTAATTGCCCTGCAACGTGACCAGCTGCTTCATACTGCTGCCATGGCTTCCCCACTGCAATGGACTGTGTCCTCTAAAACCATGAGCCAAAATAAACTCTTCATCCATTAAGTTGCTTCTTGTCAGGTATTTGTTCATAGCAAAGGGCAAAGTAACTAATGCACTTAACTACTGGCAATTACTAACTTGTTTCATAACCAGATGGCTTACTTACATCACAAAACAACAGAATCACCCAGAAAAGGCCAACCCAAACATTGAAAGCAGACTAGTGGCTCCCTGGGCTGAGGACAGAGACAGAACTAATTGCAAACTGTCAGGAAGAATCCATTCTAGATTGCAGTAATCACTGTAACTCTAAAAATCTATGAAAAATCATTTTGAATGAGCAAAATTTTATGGCATATAAATTATACTTCCATAAAGCTGTTAAAAATCAAGACAGTTTTCTTGATATTTTTACTTAGAAACAATCTGAAATGACTAAAATCATGACCAGACAAGAAAAAATAAATGAATGAATGGTGTTTATGTTCAGGTGTGGAGGCTGGCAGACTGAAGCCAAGAAAACCTCTAAACTTTCATCTAGTTTAATTTTGTCAGCGTCTAGAAGTGAAATGAAAACGAGTGTACAGCTGACTAGAAAGAGAAGACGAGTTACAGGACCTGAGCTTGTTCTCACTTTAAGCACTTTTAACAGATTCACTCTGTTTTCAAATGTGAGTGCGCAAAACTTTTCTTGTTGCAGG